TTCCCATCTTTCCAGACCCCACAACCACCATTTTTTGGGAAGAATCCATCTCCACACTTCCCGTCTTTCCAGACCCCCTGGAAAACCCCATTCCGGACATTCCCGGCTCCTCACCGGCGGTGATGGTGTCCAGCATCTTCTTCCACACGTTGTACTGCAGCGATCCCAGGTACTTGGCCACGTCCAGGAGCATTCCCAAGGGAACAGCTTCCGGCTCCTCGGCCGTGCAGGCGATCCTAGGGCAGGGATTGACCATGGAGAAAGGATTGGGATGAGGCACCCGGCTTCTCCCAAGCTTCTTCTCCCTCAATTCCCACAAAATCTGGGATTTAACGCTTCCCGCAAACCCTGAAATTCCGCTTCGTGTACCCGCCATCCTGCCCGGAGCACCCAGGGGACAACCAGCACCTCGGAGGGGACGCTGGAATTTTCTTGGAGCGGGGATCTCAGGAGACCCCATCCAGCCACCGGGAAGGGCTCAGCCATTCCCAAATTCCCATGGATACGACGGGATCGGGACCTACCTCCGCTTGCGGTTCTTGTGGGTCTGGAAAACAAAAGAGGGAGACACCGGGAATCAGATCCCGGCCGCCACCGGAATTCCGACAGCCGATGGATCACACGGGGGAGGCGGGATCCGGGCCGGGAGCAGGATCCCGGTGGGAAAGAGCATCGGGAATGTGGGAATTACCATCAGGAATTTGTAGTCGTCCTGCTTGAGATCGGCGTGGAGCCGCGCGGCCTCGTTGAGCAGGGCCTGGCTGGCCTCGGCCAGCTCCTCCATCTTTCCCTGGATCAGATCCTGCTTCCGCCCCGTCTCCTCCCGGAGCTGCGCCAGCACCGCCTGCTCCTCGTCCCACAGGAACTTGTGCAGCTTCTCGAATTCCCACTTCACCTGCCGCTCCAGACGCTCCGATTCCACCTGGGAATGTCGGCACCTTGCTCCAGGTGGGGACGGCGGCAGCGCCCCAATTCCCTGGGGTCCCCTTCCAGGCAGCTCCAGAGCTCAGGGATTCCCTGGGATCACGCTGCGCTTCCTAAATTCCCATCGCCACTTCCCAAATCCCCACTGCTCTCCTTTTCCAGGATGGGATCAGTGCTCCACTCCAGTGCATGTGAAGGATTGGGATTGGGATCAATCCCACCTCTGAAGCACCCGAATTCCCTGGATTCCACCTTCACAGAGCTCAGGGATTCCCTGGGATTCAATGGGATCACACTGCCCTTCCCAAATTCCCTTCCCTGCTTCCCAAATCCCCATCACTCTCCTCTCCTGGATGGGACCGGAGCTCCACCCCAGTGAACGTGCAGGATCGGGATCAGGATTGGGATCGGGATCAGGATTGGGATGGGGATCGGGATCAGGACTGGGATCGATCCCAGCTCCGGGAGGGAACACGCACCTCGTTGTGCCGGGAGATGGATTCGTAGGATCGCCGCACGGCCCCGAAATCCTTGGCCTTATCCCGCAGGGATGACTCCATGTTCGCCAGCTTGGCCTGTGGGGAGGAGACGCCCTCAGGACTCCCCCATTCCCGGGATTTTCTGGGATTTTTCCAGGATAAACACCCCTGGAGCAGGATCCTTGCTCCATCCAACTCTTCCCCTCCGGCAGGCAGGAAGAAGAGGAGCTTTGCTCCATAGGGAATCCTCCTCCCTGTTTTTTAGGGATATCCTATCCCAGTGCCGTGGCAGCCCCATTCCCATTCCCATTCCTAGGAACACCGGCCAAGCTTTTCCCGCCACGTTTGAAATCCAGCGGGATGAGTCAGGGCGGCGCCGGCTGTTTTCCAGCGTGTCCTGGCAGCATTCCCAGCTCCTGGCTGCATCCCATCCTCCTCCTCCCCCTCTTCCTCCTCCTCCTCCTCCTCCTCAGGCAGCCACAGCCCGCGCCTCCTTTCTGCTGGAATTGTGCAACTCCCAAATCCCAGCCCCGCTCCCAAACCCTGGAAAAACCAGCGTGGCCGGATCCAGGCTGGGATCAAGGGAATCACCAAACCGCCGGGAATAATCATCCCGCTCCCCTTTCCCGCAGGATTGTTATCCGGGATGGCGCCGGATAATTAAAAGGCAGGAGAGCACCCAGCAGCTGCCACATCCCTGCAGGGAAGCGTGGCTGCCTCATCCCAAATCCTGGCAAATTTGGGACAGCGCCAGGTTTTAGGGATGCCTCTTGTCATCCGTCTATGGATGCATCCATGGATCCAATCCCTCCATCCATCTCTGTTCATCCATGGATCCATCGCTCCCTCCCTCCATCCTTCCATGGATCCATCCCTCCATCCATGGATCCATC